CTTAATCTGTTTGTTAATAATTTCTTTATTGCCTATTGGTATGTTCTTCAATTTAACTAAAAGGAATGTATGCTTGAGATTAACTAAAACATATCCAAAAAATGTTTGTTTAAATATTGTAATCTCTTCTAAAGTATACAGTTGTTATTTGTCTTTATTTAAGAAGACTATTTCTAAAAGAGCCAGTTTGTCTCTAATAATGTGAGTTTTTGCTACTAGTATATCTTCTTCCAACTTAATGTATAAAGTTAAGATAATGTCATTGGTAGATATATTGGTAAGCTTAGAAATATTAAAAACAAGAGTATTTTTATTTTCAGAATAGATTTTGTTTCTTGATGTTATGTTAAAAAAAGTTGTCTTGCCTTTTTTTAGTTTTGAGAATAAATCTAACTGTTGCTTGAGTTTGTTGTTAGCTAATTTGTTATTTATATTATCTAATGTTGTACTATTACTGACATTGTCTTGTGTATTAATTTTGTTATATATGATATGCATATGTTCTGTATCTGTTTGTTGTTTTTTGTATTTACTGCTGCACATATCTTTTATTTGCCTTTACCAACTGGTTTTTTTTTTTGTTCTATATTACTGACTCAACCTTTATTATCTTGATTATTGCTTTTATTTAGTTTACTATTTGGTAAAAATAATATGTTCACTGTTTCTGCTTCTATGATAAGAGTTTTTTCTTGCTCTGATAACAAGTCAAAGTCCTTTTTTCTAGTTCTAATATCAAGAAAATTTGGTCTTTTAGGTATTAAGCTGCTTATGTTTAACAGAAATAGCTTTTATTTCTTGATTATAAGAGCTTTAGCTCTACCAAAAAAGTTTTAAAAAAAGTTTTTATTTAGTTTTTATGAAATTTTGCTATTTTTGTATAGTTACCAAAGGTATACCAAAAAGAGTTTTTTTTCAAATAGTAATTCAAAATGATTTATAGCAATTCATACAGAAATGCTAAACAATATTAATAATAAAGTAGTAATTACACAAATACCTCTACTTATTATTAAACAATTACTTAATAAACAGAATAAGTATAAGTTCTTTATTTAAATAAAGGAGTTTTTCTAACATCTTTTTTAACTATACATCTTGTAATATTGACAAAGTGTTTGTAAAAAGCAAAAATAGGGTTATTATATATTTTAAAAACAAAATGAATGTTACAAAAAGCTTTTACAATAGAATTTAGATATAAAAAACTATCTAATTGTAATTATAGTATTATAAATATTTTAGAACTTATTATTTTTGTAGGAGAATTCTGTTTTGCTTGAGAGAAAAATTTTGTCTCCTTTTATAATATTTTAACACCTATATGAAGTAATACTATTTAGAATGATATCTAGGATAAAATCTGGGTAATAGCATAAGTTTTATTCTAAATACATTTATGCTGCATTTGTAAACTGATTTTCACTAAATTTCTATAATTAGATCTAAATAATTATCACATGTATTGTCCAATAATATAATAATAATAATAATATAATAAAAATGTTTTTTTAAATAATAAAAATATACTAATAGAAGAAATTAAAAAATATATAATATAACAAATATTTTCTCTTTTAAAGTTAAGCTTCTGTGAAATAAATTTTATTTCCTTTCTATACTTATTCATAAACTAGCTTGAGAAGCAATTTTTAAGATATGAGACCCATTTCTTTGTATTTTCTGTTCAATATTTTGTAAAGAAGTCTTTTTATCTATTTGGCTAAACTTGGTTCCTAGTATAGAATATAGAAAGAGTTTTATTCTATTTAAAAAATTAGATTTTACTAAGACTTGAAAGAAGTTATTAGTATTTTTTTTATCTAAATATTTTAAATCAAAATTAAGAGATGTTTTAAAATTTTCTTTAATATAATCTTGGATTTTAGTATTTTTTTTTGATGATAAGCAAATAAAATAGTTTCTTTAATTGAAGTATTTAAAAAATCTTTATTGGGACAAGTTATTTGAATTTGGTCTTCTAGAAATTGATGTTTATACTATTTTCTTTGAGTTGGAGTAAATGAACTTTTAAAAAAACTTGTAATTTATAATTCATGATGTAAAGAGAAAATTTTAGACAATTTAGATTTTACAAATTTACTTATAGGCATTGCTTATAATGTTTTAATCTAAATGCATAATAAGTTTCTTTATTTTTATTATCTAATTAATTTCTTATTTTGTAGATATTATTTTCTAATTTTTTTAATATTCATATATGACCATTCTAACAACTAATGAACTTATCTTTATGTATATTTTGTTTAGAAGTATTATATACAAATACAATATCTTTAACTTTAAATTTGTAAACTTGTTGCAATTTATTTTGTTAGAATTTATTCTTTCTTAGGCTGATTTAATAAAACATTTTGCAATAATTATTGTATCTTTAAAGCTTTTCAAAATTGAACTAATTCTTCTTTTAAGAGCTTGTTTATAAAATTCTTCTATAAAATTAAATTTGAAGACAAATTCAATATTAATTAGCATTTGAGCTTCTCTTTTATATAAAAGTATATTTTGTTGCTTTATGTTTATAAGTATAATAGGCTATAAGAACTAAAGGAATAATTTGGTCCTATTTTTCATAATTTTCTAATACAAATTTCTTTATTATTTTACATAGTATATTATTAAATCTTTTCACTAATCCATTTGTTTAGAGATAATAAGAAGCAGATAAATAATAATAAAAGTTTATTTTCTCATTTAAATAAAGATATTGTGTAATTTAGAAAAAAAGAACCTCTATCTGACTGAATAATTGTAGGAACTTCATGTTGGCAAATTATGTTTTTATATAGAACTTTGGCTGTTTCCTTAGCAATTGCTGCTGGCACAGCTTTGGCTTCAGGCTACTTGGTAAAATAATCTGTTGCAACAATTATCTATTAATTTTTTTGTAAAGTAATTTCTAAAGATCCAACAAAATTTATACTAATATAAACAAAAGAAGATGTAACCTTTATTGGCTTGGTCATTTGAAATCTTCCTGGTTTATTAACTAATCTTTGGCAAATATCACAAGTTTTTAATATAGTTTTTAATATCTTTTTCTATAGTAGGCCAGTAATAATGATCTATTGCTTTAGCAACTGTTTTCTTTATATTAAAAATGTTAACTAAAAGAAGATAAATATAAATTATATAATACTTTATCTCTGTCTGACAAATTAATTACTTATAGATATTAATTAGGATTCTTTTTATTTTTCTTGAAAAGGATGCTATTTTTTTTAAAGTAGTATATTGTTTGTTGAACTAAGTACTGTTTTTGTTGTGATGTAAAGGTAAATGTAATTTTATAAAAGAAAAGATAATCTAATAAATACTAGTACAATTTTAGATCTATTGTAATCTAAATAAACTTTTCTGGTTAGTTTAGAGTTTAATAAATAATAAATAAAAAATTAAATAAAGTATTGTCTTCTAATCTAAAGAGTACATCAGTATTAGCATGGTCCTTTTTTTTTTCTTAATAATATTATATAGTTCATATTCAAACAAGTGTATAATTCATCTTGCTAGACACCTATTGGAAGTTTTATGCCTTTTTAACCAAGTATAGCTTCATAATTAGTAATGATACTAAATTATTGTCTTTAAAAAAAATAGTAAAAGTATTTGATAGCCTAAATAATGGTGAAGCATTCTTTTTCAGTAACAGTATAGTTTTGTTTAGTATAATTTAAGACTCGACTGGCATAAGCAATAACATGTTTCTTATTTTCATTATCTTTTTGAGCTAATACAGCTTCAATAGCAAATTCAAAGACATTAGTATATAATAGAAATAATTTTGAAAAATCTAAATATACAATAATAAGTTTGAAAATAAGGCATAATTTAAGATATTCAAAAGCCTTTTGGCACTTATTTGTTTAATAGAATTTTATATCTTGTTTGGTTAAATCAAATAATGATTTAGCAATTTAAGAAAAATTTCTAATAAACCTTCTATAATATGAAGCAAGTCTTTTGATTTTTAAAAGTTTTCAATTTTTAATTTTTTTAACAAGAACTGGATTGAATTGGATTTTTTTTTTGATATAAGATGTTCTAAGAATAGTATTTGTTATTTAAAAAAATTATAATTTTTAGAATTTAGCCTTAAACTAGCATTGGAAAGTAATTAAAAAACCTTTTTAAGATAGTCATTATGCTTCTTATATGTTTTTGAATAGATGATAATATTATTTATATAAACCAGGACAAATTTCCAAGCAACTTTATAAAATACTTTATTTATTAGGTGTTGGAAGATAGTAGAAACATTTATAAGACTAAATGGCATTATAGTAAATTCATATATACCAAATTTTGATATATTTAGCATGTTAGCAATTCTTAAAAGAGAATAGGCATTTGGTTTGGTAACTTTATTTAATTGTTAGTAATCAATTACAAGATGTGACTTTCTATTTGCCTTCTCAACTACAAGAGCAGAAGATGTCTGAAAACTGTAAGATAATTTAATTAATTCTTGTTTAGTAAATATTCTATTTCCTCTTTTATAAAAACTTAATGCTTGGAAAATAAACAGTAAGAATGCTGTTAATAAGTGTAGCATTTTCAGTATTTATTTGATATTTAATTACTTCAGTTCATCTTAACTAATCAATATTCTTTGCAACAATTTGTAGGTATTTGCTAAGAATATTTTAGATATGAAATTTGTTTTTATTTGTTTCTAATTCCTCTAATCCATCTTGAACTAAGAAGAATTGAGCATTTTTAGTTTCATGTATAGGAATTATTTAGAGAGTTTTCTAAGCTTTATAATTTTGTTTGCAAATTAAGAAGATGTTATTTTTAGTGAACAAAAATGTTTTACACTAGCATTTTCTTTAGAGACCTTGATACCAGTTTTTGGGTTTTCAATAACTTTGTTTTCTTAGTCAAAAGTTAAAATTTTGTTCATACTGATAGTATTCTTCCTAAAAGAAGGTTTTAGAATTAATTTGAATTTTCTTTGAAATTATTTTGTAGTAGTATTAATCAGAACTTTCTTCTTCTAAAACAACAAAACTAATTTCAAGTAGGTTCTTCTTAATTTTCTTCTCTTTATCTTTATTATAAACCTCATCATCACTTTTTCTTCTAACTTTTCTGTTTTTATAAATATTTGAATAGTATTTTTACAAGAAATTTTTACTGTTTTATTGCTATTACTTTTATTTTTAATTGATTATAATCAATAACTGCTTTGGCTTTTCTAAGTCAGTTATTTTCTAATACTAAAGTATAGATATTTGTATTAATTACTTTTATATCTACTGCTATTACTACATTATCTAAATGTACAAAAATGTTATTAATAATTTCTTCACTAGATTTTTTATTTTTATTAATTCCTGTAATCATTTAATTAGACATTTAGTCAGGTTTTCAGTTGAGAAATTTCATAAATTGTTTAGAAATAATGTTTGTTGAAAAACAAGAATCAATAATGATGTCAATTGTCTATTCTGCAACTTGTTTTTTACAGATTATAGATGTGTTTTTAGGTTTTTTTTTACTAAATGTTGCTTATTTTTCTTTTTGTTTTTTCTGTTTTGAGGTTTGTTTTGGATCTAAGTCTTTTCTAAGTTCATTACAATATTGGAAAACATTCAAAAATTGGATAACAGTTATATTGGTTTTCAAATATAAGAGATCATCTACCAAAGAATAAAGTACTGCTCTCTGTTCAATCAAGAGTTTTTTACTAAACAGTGGTCTTTTTTTTTTCTTTTTTAAATCAATTTTTTGGTTTATAGCTTCTTTTTTCTTTTCTTAATTATAAAAATTATTTATATCAATTAAATTTCAATCAATATCATATCATCATATCATCTACTTTACTTTTTTGGCTTTTAAGTAGGTTATCATAAAGTTAAGATAATGGGTTATTTATCACAAATAAGAGCTTTCTTATATCTAATGCATTCTTACTTCTTAGAGATGCATATTCTCATTTAAATACTCATTTGGAAATACATTTTGTTGTAGTTGGTTTAGGCCAATATTTTGATTAATTGCAATGAAAGTTGAATGGTTTTCTGGTTGCTAAAGTGTTTGAAAAGTAGTTGTATTATTGAAGAAGTAGTGTTTAGAACCAAAAATAGATTATTATTTTATTATTATTTTGTATTAAAGGTTATACTTTGTAGTGAAACTTTATTGACTTTTATTAGGTTAGTTATTACAACTATTTTTATACAGAGATAAGTGTACAACTAGTCATACATGCAACTTTTGGTTGTTTATTTAAGTAGTCTGTTCTAAGGTTTTATACTAAATATCATACCTATATTCTATTAGGAAATTATTTATTTAAATTCTCTGATCATCTGGTTGCACTAGCATGACTGGCAGGTCATAATGCATTTGTGTAACTTGTTATACAGAGGAATGCAAACTGACAAATTAGGCAGTGCAAACTCAAGATAAGTCCTTGTAATCATATAAATCCATAGAAATTAGTGAACAAGAAGCCTATTTGGGAAAACCCAAGTAAAGAGATAACATGGATCTTCGATGGTACTACTGTAAAGGCTAGACCTAAAAAATAGATACCAATGCTGAAGTAGCTGAATAGGCAAGAACCTCTGGGTTGGAAGTCTTAGAGGTACTACCAACCAAGCTGCCAAATTAGACCGAAGGAAAAGAATATTGGGCTAACCTGATATACTGATGGACTGGTTATAGTTCTATATAGCTATCTGGATTGGGAGTTTGGTAAAAAAAGCAGGGGTATACTAAAGTACTAGAAATATGCTGTGAAGTAGATATTGGGGTTTGTGTGAACTCTACAAGAGCATAGCAGTTTAATAGTTAGCCCTAATTGCAAGTGTTGGTTTTGTCATAGTGATATCTGGATCAGCTGCAAAAATAGGTAAATAGCAGGTTCTAGAAGGTTTACCTTGAGGATAACTGTTCTAAGGTTAAGATGAAGAATCTAGGCTTGACCTGGTGAAGTAATATAGAACAGGTTCAGAGGATTTAAATAGAACATTCAAGCAGAGGTATTAGATATAGCAATTGGTAGGGAACATTAGGTGGACTCCTTAAATAGGTAATATAGAAAATTACACAAGTAGTTAATTGTATACTCTTCCTGTAGTAGCTTCTTATAGAACTACATTCTTAAAAATATGTTAATAAAATCAAAAGAGCAAAAAGGTCATCTTAATACCAAAAAAAAAAAATTCTCTGATCATCCACTCTGTTATAATATAATACCAACTAACCCTCTATATATATCTAACTGGTATACTGTTTGAGCAATATAGTATCTATCCTTTTTGTACTAGTTCTCAAACTATTATATATTTTAGAATATGATATCTGCTAATAAAATATAGAGGGCCTTTTTGTTAACTACCTATTTACTTTACAGAACATAAACAAAAGCTATCTTTGCAAAGTTTATCCAGACCTTAGCACTGACTTTATAGCATATTTCTAGTACTTTTAGTATATACTTGCATTAGTTCTTTAGATTTCCAATTCAGATAGCCTAGAAGAACTGTGATCTGTTCTTAGTATATTAAGGCCAGTTCAATATTCTTTTCTCTCAGTTAGAAATCTGATGGTCTGGTTGGTAGTACCTCTTACCTAAGGTTCTTGTCTATTCAATTCCTTCATATTGGTATCTGTTGCCTAAGTTTAGTCTTTACAGTAGTACTATTAAAGATCCATGCTACTTTTTTACATAGTATTTTCAAGTAGGCTCTGGTTTCTTAGTTTTACAGATTTGCATAGCCATAAGGACTTATTTTAGGTTTGCACTATCCAGTACTAGTTTGCATTCTTTTGTATAACTTAGATTATACAGATGCTTTATGACTTGCCAATTATACTAGTATAACTATAGTTAAAGATATCTTATTTCAACTGATTAACAAAATGCCATTATTGTAATATCATTTATATATTATATAGGTAATTATTCAAATTTTTACTATCAGTAGGTTTTGAACTCACAACCTACTACTTGGAAGTTGACAACTTATCCATTTCACTAAGTCATCATACTTCTTAAAAATAAATTATTGTTTGGATATACTACAGATTAGATAGGTAATTGATTTATTAGTTGTTGCATAAATTAGTTAGATATTTGTTAATTCAACATATTAAGAAGAGCCATCATGTTTAATGCATTATTCTGATTCTGGTTTGGAATTTGCTAATTTTGAGTAGTTGGCATTTTGTTAGTTAAACAATTTCAAAAAATATGTCCAGTTTGTTTGCATTTATAACAAATAACATTATTAGATTGCTGTTAGTAATTTGAGTTGTTTCTATAATTTTGGTTGTTATTTCTTTGATTAAAGTTATTATTAGTTATGTTAAGATTTTCAATTGTTTGTATTAAGGTTCCAATAAGCTGTGTTAAATTATTATTATTATTTAAAATAGGCAGAATAATTGTAATTTATTACTGTAGAAACAGAATTTATATTAGAAGAATAAAATTTTGAAAGAGCTTTAGAGTATGCATTACTATTTTCTTCTATTTGCCTTGCTACTTTAATGGTTTGTTCAAAAGTTATATTGTTTCTAAAAATTAAGTGAAGTCTTAACTAGTAGACAATTTCATAGCAAAAACCTTTGGTAAAGTTGTAAATTTTATTAAATTCAGTCCAGTTGTTCAAATAATTAACTCTTTTAATAAGATGTTTGATATCTAGAACACATTGGTCAACAGTTTTATTTGGTCCTTACATTTGATTTTGTAATTTACTTCTTTATTATAAAAGTTTTTCTTGAGTATAAAACTTGTTCAAAAACATTTGTTTAAAATTTTAATTGTTATTATTTCTCTAAGTTTGAAAGTTTTGAGCATTATTATTTGCAGTTTGGATAAACCATACATAAGCTTCATTTTATAGATATTTTTCTACTACTTCAAGTTTATAAACATTAATATACTAGTTGATAATAGTACATTTTTCAAACTCTTTCAATTATTCTACTAGGTCTTAAATTCTATCTAAGAAAGTAGATGTTAAAACATTATTTCAACTTTTAAGTTATTGGCATAAAGCTTAAAAAGAGTTAATGAGTATTAGTTATTTTGGACTATTGTATTTGTTTGTGATTTAGATTCACTCTTAGAAGAAGAATTATGTTCAGTATTAGTTGAATCAGAAATAATAGTTATTTTAATTTTGTAGACTATTTAAAATCTCAGTATGTTAGATAAAGAATTGAGTATATTCAGAATAATTATTAATTAATTCAATAAGTGTTTCTCTAATCTCAGAATAAGTAAAACAAATACTATTTAAAAGTTAGTCAAAAATATTAGATTAAGAAGAGTTTTGTAAATAGGAGTCAAAAAATTCAAATGCAATTTGAGAAAATTGAATAGTAAATAAATTTTGAATAAGCCAATTTCAAAAAAAACAAAATTCAGGTTTGCAAGAGTTTATGCTACAGAATGGGTAGCAAATATTACAAGAATTTAAGATAATTATTTCAGAAGTGGTATAATAAATATTTAAATGTCTTTGTTGTATTCAATTAAATATTAATATTGCCAAACTCTCATTGTAAGCATTAATTTTGTTATGTACCAAATAACAATTCAAATTATTAAACAATTACTTAACAAACAGAATAAATGTAAGTTCTTTATTTGGCTAAAAGGGGTTTTCTAATATATCAAATAAATTTGCCAATGTCACAAAATATATAGTTAGGGAATTGTTTACTGATGTTTGTAAAGAGCAAAAATAGATTTATTATATGTTTTAAAGACAAAATAAATGTTATAAAAAACTTTTATAATAGAATTTAGATATAAAGAACTATCTAATTGTAATTATAGTATTATAAATGTTTTAGAACTTATTATTTTTGTAAGAGAATTTTGTTCTGGTTGAAAGGAAAATTCTGTTTTTTTTTATAATATTTTGATGTCTATATAAAAAAATACTTATCAGGATAATATCTAGAATAAAATTTGAGTAATAAAATAAGTTTTACTTTGGATACAACTTGTGATATTACCTGAAGTTTATTCTGGATTTTACCCTGTCATAATTACATCTGTACTACTAATTTTCACTAAATTTCTATAATTAGATCCAAATGATCATCACATGTACTGTTTAATAATATAATTATAATAATAATATAATAAAAATATTTTTAAATAATAAAAATATACTAATAAAAGAAAAATAAAAAAATATAATATAGCAATAAAAGTATTTAGAAAGCCAAAAACAACAAAAAGCAAAATTTTAAGACTTAATAATAATAACAAAATTATAAAAAAATAGCTAGTTTATTAAATACAAAAAATTTGTCTTTATCTTTAGATAAGCTTAATATACAGCTACAAAAGAAGTTAACAATTTTGACAGAAAAATAGTATATTTATTTCAAAGTGCAATGGATAGAACAGGGCAAAAAATCTTTGTAAAATATAAACAAAGAAAATCTCATACAGCCACTTAGAAATTAAAGTTTCAAATAATAATTATTAAATAGTAAGAATATTTTATAGTACATTAAAGAACAATATACAAAAATCTACAATGCCAAAAAGTTTGATATAAAAGCAGCAATAGAAATTACAAAATATTTTTTACAATTACAACAAGAGTTCAAAAAGGTTTAGTTAAAAGAATCATCTACTAAACAATAAGTCTTTTAGAATATATGGTTTAACTTATAAGTTCTACAAACTTACAGAAGAAGCAGTTGCACTAGTTTTAAAAAAGATCTTTAATAAAATTCTAAATTTTGGCATTTTTTTAGTTCATAATACAAGAATCTAATCATACTAATTCCAAAAAAAAGCAAAAGAGCTTGATAATATAAACAACTGAAGATCTATTTTTTTAGTAAATTGTAATACAAAAATTTTATAAAAATTATAGCCAATAGGCTAATTATAATCTGTAATGATATAATCCCAACTCACCAAGATTTGTTAACTTAATTAGTAACTTCTTTACTAATTAGGAGGCCCATATAATAGAAGAGAAAAACCTGTTCAAACCTTTTGAAGTAGAAAGAGATGTATAACAAGAAGACTCTTTTTTATCTATACTAGCATTTGAACTAATATTAAAACAATTAAAAAGAAAACTCAAAAGAATTTTACTAGAAAAGCAGTTCTTTAAAGCTATAGCAAATGCTGATGACCTAATAATTGGCATAGGATTAATCACAAACTAAAATACATTAAAACAGATATTCAAGATATATGAGCTTATATCTAAAAGCTTTAATTATAAAAAATATGCTTAATACAAGATTACTAACAGTTTGGCTAAAGCTTTTAACAAAAAACTTTTATAGTCTAAATTCAAAAGAAAAGATTAAAAAAACTCTCTTTTTTTCTTTTCACTTACATTTAGTAGTAAAGGATAAAATAAACAAAAACAATTAAATTTTTATTAAAATCTATTAGAAACTATACCACAAGAGCTAAATTTCTTGTGCTAAAGAAAAGAAAGTATTCATGCATTAACATGCTACATTCTCTTTTTACTAAATTATCTGAAATGTCTGTGTTCTACAAAAAAATCAGAACTTCTAACATTTATGAAGAAGAAACTAGTTTAAGCTTAGGCCCTTCTAAGAGTTTATTAAAATAAACTAAAGTTCAAGTCTTAAATAACCAAGAACCAAAAGCCTTATCAACACAAAAAACATAAGAAGCACATATAATTACAGACTAAAAGTTAGTGAAACACTAAACAAAGAAAATTCCAATCTTGAAAAAAATAATGATGCATTGTTTACACCTGCTAACAACATGTACACAGAGATAACAAAACAAACCAAACACATGTTTCATAATAGCAACTCAGTCATATCTTAATCGGAAATTAGAACCAACCAATCAAAACCAAGGCAATAGTTCAATCTTTTTTCTAAGTTAAAAAAAAGAAAAAGCCACCTACTCTACATTTTTTCCTGAAAAAAGAATTTATACTAAAAATGAAAATGCTTTAATTTTTAAAACTCAAAATTTAGAAAACATATCTATAACAGACATAGTTAAAGCAATAGTGAAAAAATTAGATGACAGTCTTATAACAATAAAACCAGTAGTTACCAAAAGCAAAAGAACTTATTTAAAAGTTATTTTTTCTGATAAAGACTAGCAACAATACTATGCAACAGAAGGAATCTCAATTTTTAAACAGTTTCTTCAAGATTATATTCTTGTTAATATTAGACAAAGCTTTCTCTTAGTAAGAATTAGAAATACATCAATGAATAAAAAAAATTTTATCTAAAAAAATCAAAGAAACTTTTCAAGACATAGACATAATCTTCTCTATTAAACCTCTAGTACACAAAGGCACTTCAGATTTTTTAGATCAATAGGTAGTTATTTTTAAAACTACAGATAACTCAAACCTAGCAAATAGAATTTTCAGATATATATACATTTGGGACTACAAAGTAGTTACAAACTGAAGAAAGGCTCCAAAGCTATACTACTTTTGTGACAAAGTAGATTATATTAAAAAAGAATGCACTAAGTACATAGTCTCAATAGAACTTAGAGCTATGCAAAAAGTATACAGATTACAAAGATCTCAAAACAAGACTACTAAGCACCAAACCTTTGAGTTAAAAGACTTTAGTGCAGATAACCTCTATATTAAAAATAATAATAACTTAGATGCTAATAATGTTAATAAGCAAATCTTAGCAGATATGAATCTGGATAGTCATATTAATATAAATCAGCCTCAGATTAAGACTGAAACAACTAAAAAAAAACTAATCAAAGATACTTTAAAGGAATTAAACAATCTTTTAATAGAAAATTACACTATAGATATCAATATGATAGTAGATTTACTAACCACCCTTTATGATGACTCTAAAGTTGCTAAATCCTCTTTTATCAACAATAATGACAATAAATTCTAATTGATGATATCAAAAAAAAAAACACAAGAGTAAAGCAAAAGTATCAAATGCAGAAAGAAACAAAGTTATAAGTCTGGATCCTAAAAAAAATCCTGGTCTCAGAACCAAAAAAGCTTAATCTAACTTATTAATCTCCAATTTTTTAATATTATAATTAAACAAATTACAATTATAACAAATTACAATTGCAATACTTAATAAACAATTTAAACAAAGTACAAAAAACACTAACTTTACTTAAATCATATTAATTAGACATAATTATGTTACAAGAAACAAATTTAGAAAACAATAATACAAGAAATTTTCTTTCACAACAATAAGAATACAGCTTGTATTAGTTCTTCAAGATAGCAATCTTAGCAGAAAACAAAAACATTTCATTTGAAAACATTATAGAATCTCAGAATAGTTATGTTATTACAGCAGCTTTTCTATATAAAAGCTAACCATTTCTCTTGAATAATTTTTATGCACTATCAAATATAGAAGACAGACTCAAATTCTTTAATGATTGGGTTCCCTTAATGGATGATAGATGCATTAATATTTTGGCTAAAGACTTTAACATAAACCTAAATTCACAAAAAGTCGAATCAGTCATGCACCTATTACTTATAACCCTACAAGAAATTTTTTCAAAAAACTTATAACAGAGTTTACAGATACTGCATTTCTATTTGAAAATGATTATTCTTTTTTAACCTATTATCAGAACACTCATGCAGATTACAGAATGGCTACAAGGCTTGATTATATCTTTATAGATAGCAATCATAGCAGCTATTGTAAAAATATAACAATACAATTTGGCAATTTTAATTATTTAATAGTAAAATACAAAATACACCTTTTACTTGAAAACTCTAAAGCAAAACAATGAAGATTTTGCAAAAATAGCTAGAATAATAACTTGCTAAAAAAAGAAGTAATTGAAGAACTTCAAAGCATTACTGACTTCTCAAATAGGACCTT